CTTGAGGGCACTGTTCTATCAAAAAAAAAAAATTAAAAAAACAAAATCAGAAATTACCCCCCACCTTCCCCCAAGTGCACAGGCGGAGTCCAGCACTTAATTACTTTATAGGGCAGGACATTCAAGGTCCTTTTTTTCTTTCTGCTCGCAGGCTACTCAGGGTCCTCATGCCTCAGGGGTCCTGTTTTCTCACCGGTCTAAGCTTTTGTGGGGTGCGGACCTGGAGGGATAGGAATCCCCTGCTCTGGGGCTGAGTGCTGAGCTTTGATTGTTACAGAAATTCATTCGTCCTTTCGTCAGCTTCTGGTAAATGTTGTTCTCACCCGTTCTGAGTTTTGCTTTGAGAGTATGATTGAGTGGCCAAGACAAACCAAAGACTTCGCTTCATAAACCTTTGACAGTTAAGACACTAATGAGCACATCCAGCTTTTCACCCGCCCTTTGCCATTGATCTTCCTCCTGCATAAGGGTGAATGACGTCAGGGAGGGTTAGACATAGATACTGCCCTGTTTCCTGTAGAAAATTGCTTGGGAACGGGTGATTCCCACTATGTTGTGTTTTTCTTTTTAATTTTTAAGGTGTGTGGGTGTTTTTTTTTTTTTTTTAGTGGGGGTGGGGTGTTAGCAATTGTGGATATAGTTCGGCTGTTCTAACGTAGCCAAATAAGACTTTGTCACATAAGCTGTCTCCTTTTATCTTAATGTTTCTCTATTTTCGGAGGGTTGATTCATTAAAGTGGCTCTGCTTAAAATGTAAGAGTTGTAATTGTTGATGGAATGACACTTGGAGGTACCTGGTGATCTCTTAACGCTTTTGCTGATGAAATCTGGAAGAGGCAACTTGAGTAACAATAGAGCATTATTAGAAATAAGTTGGATATGAAATTAAAATACTTTTAAATTCTGTATGCTCTCCTTTTATGTTCAGAATTTTAAAAACAGTATGGTATTTTACACTGTGTTTCCGTTACTAACTAGCAGTTAAATGCTGTAACACTAGAGGGTGCTTTTGTTCGATTTTCTTTTATTGTTAACAGAAACCCCTCTTCCTCACGAGTGGCGGGATTGGGAGAATTACAGGATTGGGGCAATTTTTGTCAGGCTGATAACCTAAATAAATCTCCTGCTTCACTGCTTTATAACAGTGGAGACACTGAGATGTCACTAACATTAGGAGAGACAGAAAAATAGAAACATGTAAGCTTTAAACAGTAGTTTTGATTTTAATGTTACCTAGTTTATTTTCCTTTTTGCTAATAGTTGAACTCTTTTGGGTATTTAAAAAGCATATTTATTATGAAGAATAAAGCTTTCCTCCAGTATTTGCTCAAGGTTCTGTTTTTCCAGGGAGACGGTGATAGGGGGGTTATCCCCAGTGGTGCTTAGGGGCTGCTTCTGACTTGGTGTTCAGGGGCCACCCCTAGTAGTGGCGGGGAATAAACCAGGCCTACTGCATGCCAAGCTTGAGCTCCAGCCCGTTGATCTCTGCCTCCAGCCCTCAAGGTGGTTAGTCTTTTAGTTATTTCACGTTATATGTTTGGGTCCTCCCTTCACTTTCTGTATGTACTACAAATTGCTGCTACTTCTAATACAGTGGTAGGGGATAAGGATCACTTACAATTTTTCCTTTTCCTCCTGAGTTTTCCTGCTCCTTACAAATGCAGGGATTGCACCTTTAAACGACTATTTCACCTGTAGCTTAGCAGGTGTGCTTAACATAGGTTTACATTTTTGGGGGCTCCTGACCAGAGCTCAATAGACAGGGGTTCAATTCTGGGGGCCACCAGGACCACTTCCCATGGCTCCCAGGGACTCATAAGATTCCAGGACAGAACCCAGTCCTGTGCATGTAAGGCATGCACCCCTGACTCCTGACTTTCTTAAGGCATGCACCCCTGACTCCTGAACTCACTCCTTTGCCTGGTATTGAATCTTTTCACCCGGTGTGTGTGTGTGTGTGGGGGGGGGGGGGATCTTGAGTTAATTGTGCTAGTTCAGGGGATATTTAGTTTATTTTGTAACTGGCCACCTCTCTGAAATCTGATTCTAGGCTATTATTTAAAAATAGGGTTTATGATACCTGTCAGTGTTTGGTCTTCTTTCTCCCATTATTTAACATCAAACCTTTTTCTCTGTAGTGCTTAAGGACTTGTACGGCAGTCTTGCGTGTCCTGCCGAAAGTCCCAGACTTCAGAAGCTAACGGGAAACGTCTCTAGTTGACTAGGCTTCCCCCTCGGAGCCCCACACGCTGCCTCACTGGGAGGGAGGGGGTCTTTGGGAAGATCTTTTTCTTCTCTGTCAGATGTGCTAAGATTTTTATCTGGAAATATGTTTTCTTGTTCGTTTGTTTTTTCAGATCTCCTTTTGGTTTCTGCTGATCTTTTTTCTTTCTGCCTGTTTCTGTGAGTTGTGATACTTGCCCCTTGAGCGCCCTCGTTTTGTGTTTTAGTCCGTTTCAAATTCTAATCACAGTTTCCTTCAAAGAAGACCTGAAACTACCTGGTTATAGCTTAAGATCTGGTGATACATTTGATTGCTGTGTGTTGGGGAGTATGGATTTAGTGTTTTTTCACCCCAGTCTCTATTAATGGAACCTTACTTGGAATTTTTGTTTTGTTCTGTTTTGTTTTGGGGAACTCACCTAATGGTACTTGGGGCTTCCTTGTGGCTCTGTGCTCAGGGATCACTCCTGGCCGGGCTTGGGGGATCATATGGTGCTGGGGATCAAATCTGTCACTGTCTGTCACTGTCCTCCCATTGTTCATCGATTTGCTCAAGCGGGCCCAGTAACGTCTCCATTGTGAGAGATCGAATCTAATGTACTTTATTTTTTTTTTTTTTCCTTTTTGGGTCACTCCTGGCTCTGCACTCAGGAGTTATTCCTGGTGGTCCTCAGGGGACTGTATGGGATGCTGGGAATCGAACCCGGGTTGGCCACGTGCAAGACAAACACCCTACCCGCTGTGCTATCACCCCAGCCCCAAACCTAATGTACCTTTCCTTGCCTTATTGTTAACATCATTTGAAAATTGCATAGCATGTATTTAGAGAAAATTTTTTTTTCCCTTTATTTTATTTTATTTTTTTTAAAAGTTGTAGATTTACAATTTTTTGTGCTTTGGTTTCAATTATACAATGATCAGATACCCATCCCTCCACCAGTGCCCATTTTCCACCACCATGGATAATATCCCTCCCACCCCCATCCCCCCATCCCCTCTGTCTCTGTGGCAGGGCAATCCCCTGTGTTCTCGTATTTAGAGAAAATTTTACCTTTACCTTGAGTCTGGTTTCTTTAGTTGCTAGTATGGTTTGGCATGCGGTCTTAGCAGCTCGATGTGGAGGCCACAGCTGGCTGTGCTCTGGTGAGCTAGAAGGACCCTGTTGGGTGCCAGGGATCGAACCTGGGTCAGCTGCATGCAAGGCAAACGCGCGCCTTTCCCTTGGTTTCTGTAGTTTCATTTCTTACTGACTTCTATTTGCTTTGGAACGTCTTTGGGAATAATCTTTAATTATTGCTACTATTTAAGGAAATAAAACACCATGACCTGAATGTTTCTGTGACTTTTTTCATCCTGAACTCAAGTAGTTTGTGTCCGAAGTACAGGTTTCTTACCAGAGTTTGTATGGGTGGGTTTGGCGTGTGCAGGTAATTTCTGTACTCACATTTTCGTTCCTCTCAGATTAGAGTTGTGCATGCCCACACGTGCATGTGCATGTTGGATTTATAACTGGGTGTCTACACGCACATAAGAAGAGACATACGCGTGTATACGTGTGTTGGAATGTATGCCCTTGAGGCATGCTCTTCCAGTGAACCACGTTCCTGGTCCTTAGAATAGTGTTTTTTTTTTTTTTAATTTTTAATAGACATCATGAGGTACAGTTGCAGACTTACACATTTTTGTGCTTGGGTTTCAGTTATACAATGATCAAGTACCCATCCCTCCACCAGTGCCCATTTCCCACCACCACGGATCCCAGTATCCGTCCCACCCCCCATCCCCCAGAATAGTGTTTTATTCTATGTCCTTGATATCAAAATGTGTTTTGTTTGTGGTTTTAATAAATTTTCAGTTATGTTTCACATCAAAGTATACAGTTCAGTGGTTCCTAGTGTGTCAAGACTTGTTCCAGCAACTGCCACCAGGGTCAATTTTTGGAACATCTTCACTCCAGGCAGAAAACCCGGACGGGGCCAGGAAATAGCTAAGTCAGAGGGTATGCTTTGCAAGGGGGGCGGGGGCCGCAGGGGGTCTGAGGGTATGGAGCTGGAGTTAAGCCCCCACACCACCAGTGGCTCCTGAAACAAACAACAAACACGGGGTTAAGGTTCTTGTGTGCGGCTCTGCAGTGATGCCAATGTCCCCCGAGTACTGTCAGGAGTGACTCCTAAGCACAGAGCCAGGAGTAGCCTCCTGAGCACCACAGTGCATTGTCTCCCTACCCCCCAAAACAAAAATCCCAAATCCTGTCCATTTCCACCCCAGTTCAGCCAGCTGCTGATGGAGTCTGTAGATTTGTCCACTCTGTGTAAGTGGGACTGTACGGTGTGCCCTGGCTGCTTTTTGGATTATTAGCCCCAATTATTCATACCTTGGGTTTGCCCTTGACTGCTCCCCGCCCTGCGTGATCTCCTTCTCTCCCCCCCCCCCCCCCCCCCCCCGCAGCTCCCACCCCATGGGGAAGTAGAAATTAGCAGGGAAGGAAAAGTGCATGCCCTCGGCACCAAGTGAAAGCAACTGGGTTGGATCGGTTGGTCCGCAGGGGGTTGGAGCGAGGGTTCCGTGTTCCATGTTTGTGTGGGGCTGACATACGTGGTCTCGGCAGCTGCCCGGTTTCCACCCGAGAAACGCAGCAGGTCCAGCCTGCGCTGTGGAGGGCTGCCACGGGCGTGCTGGAGGCTTGCAGTAACCGTTTGTAACCAGGTGGTGGCTGTTGTGTAATGCAAATAGATACCATTTCTGATGAGGAGGTGCAGTTATACAATTCGGCGAGCTCGGGTGGGTTATAAAAGCCAGAATTCCTTCAGCACCTGCAGCCTCTCTCGTGCCCAGCCCTGCAGAGGACAGAGAGCGCTGTCTGTCGGGGTGGACACAAGTGAAGGGGCATCTCACTGGACAGGGCCGGGTCTCCCTTTGCAGGTAAGTCTGTTCCTTTCTTGTCCATCGACTGTTTGGGGGGAGTCAGTGTCTGGGTTGTTTGTGCCTGGGTCTGTGGGCTCCCGTAAATACCTAGTGTTTTTAGAGTTCTGTGCCTGTTTCTGTGGGTGTGTGTCAGGGGACGAGCAGCTCATAGCCTCAGGTAGCCCAGCTGGGTACCCAGGGCAGGGGGAATCATGCGTCTTTCTGTGTCTGGAGACATCATTCCTACATTAGCATTTCTGCAACTCTTAGGAGGGTTGGGGTACCTGCATTTAATAGGAGATCAGTGTCCTGATCTGCTGCAGGTAGAATGTCAGATTGTGTGTGTGTGTGTGTGTGTGTCTGTGTGTGTGTCTGTGTGTCTGTCTCTCCCTCCGAGGTGGGGAGGGAGAGGTAGAGTGTTAGTTTTCCTTTAGGGGTCTCTTTTTAGGGATTCACAAAAAAGTGAAAAAGAACATCATCAAGAGAAACTTGCTGAGGAGAGCTGGGTGCACTTGTGGTTAAGATTAAACTCACTGTTGGAGAATGTTTGTTGAAGCTTGGGGGGGATCCTCTGGTAGGTGGGGCCCTTGTGTGCCTTCTAACCCAGGTCATTGCCCCAAAGTTCGGGCAGACCCCCCTTTTTGCCCAGCGCTCAGGTCCACCGTCCTGCCCTAGGGGTGGGGTGGGGGCAGTGGAAGTCTTTGCTTGTCTGTTCTGTAGCTTGGTAAACTGGACAGGAAATGGGGAAGGAGGTGTGGGGGGAGGGAGAAAAAGGACACTGAGGAGATTTACAAGTGATGTTCGTTCCCCTCTAAAGGGTTCCCCTCTAAAGGGAGAGCTCGGTCGACGTGCCGGAATCTTGCAAAGCCGAGCAGGTATCTCAGGGCAGATGGAGCCCGGGGCCTGCCTTCTGCTGAGAGGAAGAAGCTCAGGATGAAGAATCTGAAGTGGGCAGGCTGAGGATGCGATGACGGGAAGAGCTTCTGCCGGTGGTGCCCTGGGGGTGGTGATGGTGGGGGTGGGGTGGGGAAGTGGGCTGCAGGGGCACCTGTGCTGGGGGCGACACCTCCCCAGGCTTCCCTCATTCCCCCGTTTTTGTGTGTGTGTGTGTGTGTGTGTGTGTGTGTGCGTGCGTGCGCGAATCAACATAGTTTTACTGAAATTTCTTTAGAAAGGTGTGAGAAAGGAGAAAGAAATACATGGCGAAGAGAGAACACAGCCTTTTCCAGGGTGGAAGTGAGCAAGGAAGCGAGATGAGTGGGTGAAACATGAAGAGCCAGCCCCTGGGCGTCCCTTTCTTGTTTGTTTGTTTATTACACCCAGTGGGGCTCAGGGCTTCTTCCTGGCTCTGCACTCCGGGCTCGCTTCTGGCAGTGCTCAGAGGACCATACGGCTGCTGGGGATCCAGTCCAGGTCGGGCTCCTGCAAGGCAAGTGCCCTGCCCATCTCGGCCTGCCCACCTACCTACCTCTCCTACCCCTCAGGCTTCCCTTCTAAGTGGGGGCAGGAGGGGGTGTGAGTTCTCCTCTTTGCTGGTGGTGGGCGTGTGTGTGTGTGTGTGTGGGGGGGGTAGAGCTAACGGTTCCTGGGAGCAGGGAGCTGGGGGAGGGGGTGGCAGCCAGTGAGTGGAGCTGGTTCGAGGCAGCCCCTAGAAGTTTCCTCAGCACCCACCTGCCCTGACCCTGTGTGCTGCAAAGTGGAGGGAAGAGCCATCGTGACTTTCGGACATAGTAAAAAAGGAGAGGGCTGCTTTCTTTCCCCTCCTGGCTGCCCCGGGCGTGAGGGGTGGGGGGCTGGCGGTGGGCGACGGGGGTTTCCTTGGCTCGCTCCCAGATTCCTTCCTGCCTGACCCCAGACTCAGTCTGGCTGCTCCTGTGCACAATCTGCGAGTCAGCCTGGAAGGGACCGAGAACAACTCGGGTGTTCTTGGAACAAGTGGGGTCTGCCCCTGGCGTCTTTCCAGGGGCTCGTGAACTCCTCAGCGCCCCGGTTTTCTAAACCACTGCTCTGCTCACGGAGAGGCGCCACATTGCTAAGCATTTCTAGAAGGTTTCCAAGAACTCATGTGTGCTGGCTATGACTGGCTGTTTTAATCTATTCTTTTTTTCCCCTTTTTTTTTTTCCGGGTTGTGGTAGGGGTTATTAAATTCGCATATACAAATAGCCTTCCAGGTGCACCTGGAATTATTTCAACCACAGATTTAAAGTAGTGTTCTTAAAGCCATTTATGCAGGAAGTGATATGTCAGAGCACATCATGAAAAGAAATCTAATAGGCCTTTCTGATTCTGCCTGCTTTGGGTCCACCCCCTGTGTCCGCAGACTGGACCTTCCAGACGGCTGTGTCTCACATCCCGCCGCAGAGTTTCTCCTGAGAAGAATCTTCAGGGCAGGGGTTAGGTTTTGTTGGGCACCTCACGGGCCTGTGGAAAAATGTCAGGTTTTTCTCCCAGTACTTAAAGTGCCTGTTAACAACTGTGGGTGTAGGACCCAGAAGCCCTGTGCCACGGGAGCACGGGGGATGGACAGGTGACCCGGGAGTGCTGCTTGGAGGAGGTGGCCTCCTGATTCCAGACCAGGGTCGCCACGGGTCTGTGGGCGTGGGCCTGGGGCAGGAAAGGCAAGGCAGCGTGGGTGAGAGGAGGCCGAATGCCCTGCCCAAGAGGATCTGGTCACTCACTGATTCTGACCACAGTCGGGCAGAAAAGCAAAGATCCCCCAAGACTGTATTTCATGCTTCCCCCCACTCACCCCCACAACCTAGTAGACCTCAGACCCCAGCTGTGTTTTTGGTCTTAGGGCTATACACCACAGTGCTCAGGGCTTAGTCCTGGTTCTGTGCTCGCTGCTGGCAGTGCTCATGAGACCATATAATTGGCGGGGAAGGAACCTGGCTGGCCCTGCTGTGACCTTTTATTTCAGCCTTGGCTCCATCTAGCCCTGAAGCAGGGTGTGGGGGTGTGTGTGTCTCCATGTCCATTCTAGCACTGAAGCAGGGTGTGTGTGTGTGTTCCCATCTAGCGCTGAAACAGGGTGTGTGTGTGTGTGTGTGTGTGTGTGTGTTCCCATCTAGCGCTGAAACAGGGTGTGTGTGTGTGTCCATCCATCTAGCCTTGAAGCAGGGGTGCGTGTGCATGCGTGTCCGTGTCATTGGGAAGTGCGCTTTCTCCCCACCGTGACTGTTTGGACCCAGACATGGGGCAGGCCCTGTTTCTTGTCTTACCCTTGGCCATTTCACTCGACACCCTGCTGGGAACCTGTGGTGGGAAAGTGCACAAGGCTGCCCACGCCGCTTTGCATCCTCTTGGGCCCTCTGGCCCGCCACCGAGAACCCCGACTGCGTCTGCGGGTGACGGCTCCTTATTTCCTTCAGAGCAGGTGCCTCCGGGCCCTAAGAATGCCAGCACGTCCTCGCGTTCTCCATAGGCAGTTTCTGAGCCTGGAACCTGGCCATTTGACCCTGGGTTCCGTGGAACCCAGTTTGGGCTTTCGTCTTGTTTTAGGGTCTTTTTTTCTTGTTTGAAATTGACTTTGATTTTTAGTCCCATGTCAGCCCCCCCACTGTGGCCCACCTCCCCCAGAGCAAGACTTCTTAGGAAGCGTGTTTGGTTCTAGAGAATTTTCTTTTTTGTTATACCCTGTGAACATAACTGTCATCACAGGATCAAGTGATAACCACTCCTTAAGCTTCGTTCATTGTTGCTCAGATGAAATAATGATAGCTGGGATCAGTCAGACTTGTAAACTCCCTATAGCAGGAGTTGAAGATATTTGTTCCAATAATCTTTTTTTTTCCCCTTATTTTAGCTTGGATCAAAAACATTTAGGTCAAATGTTAGCACTTGGTAGAATTTAATGGAACAGTCATTGTTCAGTCATAATCCCGTAATGATGGGATTTAGGCAGAGAACCTTGATTGGCTTTTAAAATCTGCTTTATCATTGAACCTGGCTAGCTCTGAAAGCCTTATTTATGTCTTTGTAAGGCAAAAACTACCAGTTGGCAAGCTGAGGTTTTGAGCTTCCCGATCCCCAATCTCCCTCCTTAATCATCATACTTTTCACCTGTTGAGATGGTTCATGCCCGTGAAGAACAACATCTTTATCTCTGATTCAAGCTGCCTGGCCCAGGGTGGCCTCAGCACTACCAGCCTCACGTTAGTTGTGTATTAGCTTCAGGTGTAAGTCTCAGGACCCGCTGCAGCTGGTGGAGTCAGAATTTGGAGGAGAGTCTGTTCTTTCAAGTTGGCGGGTTGTTGATGGTTGTGGGTGTGGGTTTTTTGGGTTTTTTTTTTTTTTTGGTCACACCCAGCAATGCTCAAGGTTTGCCCCTGGTGGTACTCGGGGAATCATATGAGATGCCAGGGATTGAACCCGGGTCGCTGTGTGCAAGGCAAACGCCCTACCCGCTCTGTTATCACTCTGGCCCAGGTTCCTGGTTTTAAAACGTGTTGTTCTTTGTTTTTGAAATGTGTTCTTCTAAAGTCAGCTTTTTCTTTTTATTTTTTGGGGCCTTCCCAGCAGTTCAGGGGTTTCTCCTAGCTTTGCGCTCAGTGTTCTGAACTCCTGGCGGTGCTTGGGGGACCATATGTTATGCCAGGAAGTGAACCTGGGTCAGCTGCATGCAAGGTAAATGTCCTACTGACTGTACTATTGCTCTGGCCCCTCTTTTTATTTTTTGGGGGTTGGGCATGGGCCACACCCGTGGTGCTCAGGACTCACTCCTGATGTTGGTGGACGTATCAGGAGACCATATTGGCGTGCTGGGATTGAACCAGGGTTGGTCGTGTACAAAGCAAGAGCCTTTCTCCACTGTATGCTGTCTCTTCAGTGCCCAAAGTCAACGTCCTTGATATACATTTTACACAGAAAGTTTAATGGGCCTCCCAGAATGACAGTTTTCAGACTGCTGTCACTCGGAAGTCTCCTGCCTTTCCCATGGGAACCCCCCTCCTTACATCTCTCCTGTCGGTCACGCTGCTTCCTGTCCCTGGAGATGGTTTTGCCTGCAGGAAACCAG